GATACAGATTAGAAGCTGCTCTTGAGCAACCGAACATGTTAAGCAAATGCCTCAAGATGAATCAACGGGGTTTTGTCCCCCTAGTCAAAGAGGACGTCTGGAGTGAGTTACATAAACCTCGCTGGCTCAGTGTCCCTCATCAGTTTGCCTTCTTTCTACAGTTTCTGTGCTGCCTGTGCACTGAGAGGTAAATGCCCTTTCCTTGGTTGGGTGTGCAGGCTGATGTTTGCAGATGATCACCTTCCGTATTTTGGAAGCCACAAAGCCTTTCCACCCCTGATCTGACTGGTTTGTGTCTCAAATGGGACAGAGTTGATCTTGCAGGTGATCCAGCAACAGGATTAATGCACAGCTAAGATGAGGTCTCTATAAGGCAGATTTAATTCAATGGCAGTAGGTTTGGTTGTTTTAGATTTGAAGGGGAATGTGGTGTAGCAGCATAAGCATTGGGTTTCTAATTGCAAGGTCAGCCATTCAAACCCACCAGTTGTACTGCTAGAGAAGATGTGACTCCTGCTTCCTTAAAGAAACCTAGGTAGCACTTCCACTCTGTCTGGGAGGGTCTCTAGAAGTCAGGATCAACCTGATGGAGGAGGGTTAAGATGGAGTCTGCTGGTGAAAGTCTGTTTGAGGTGTATGGCCAGAGACTGACCCTCTTCTGGGAACGTGAAGAGCCTTACCAACCACAGAATCCTTCCCAGGTCAGCTTGAGTAATCAATGGCCTGTGGATGGATAATTCTCCTTCGTGGATGGGATGGGATGGAACAGTGTGGGTCACCGAGGCTGATTCTTTTAGACTCTACAGGGTAATATATGCCCTTCTCTTCCCCATCCTATCCACAAATGAAAAAAAAAATCTGCAGATTAAACAGAGCCAGCACAGATCTGAGGAACTCATTTCTATATCTAAACCCTTGATGCAGAAAGAGAAGAGAGAGTGAAATGTGGTAGGGAGGGCCAAGCTAAACCTCCCGTGTCTCCTCACAGGTTCACTTGAGGTTGGAAGATGACGAAGATGGAAGAGCATTTGGAGGGACTCCTCAACATCTTCCACCAGCACTCAGTGCGGCTGGGGCATGTTGACACCCTTACTAAGGGTGAGATGAGGCAGCTGATCCCAAAGGAACTTCCAAATACCCTCAAGGTATGTGATTCCTTTTAACTTCAGACAGCCCCTTGAGGGCAATGTCAAGACAGGAGGAGGAGAAAGGTGGGACAAGAACTAGGAGAGGGAATAGTGAATAGTCCTACTTAGCGCCCCTAGTGTGTTATCTTCCTGCTGTGAGAAAAGGTAGGCTGCTTCTCTCTCCATTGCTCTCCTATCACCTTAGGATGCACCGCACCCCCCCTCTGACATCCTGTTCCTCACAAGTAAGATGGCATAGGCAGCAGAGGTCTGGATAAGCTGAACCTTGGGGTACCTTCCAGGCAGAGCCTTTTATGAGTTTAGGATGGTTCATCAATTTTTCTCTCTTTCCTCTTTTGTCACATAAGATCATCCTCCACACTTTTGGCTGATGATTTAATATTCCTAGGTCCCTCTAAGATTCGCTTTGGGGGTGCGGAGCCTGAAGAAAAGAGGGAGGAGTCTTATTTGGAGGTTATGAGCTCACACTCTGTTATCATTTTTCCCTAGAACACTAAAAATCCAAGTGCCAATGACAAAATATTCCAAGAGCTGGATACTGATCGAGATGGACAGATCGACTTTAGGGAGTTCATTGCTGTAGTGGCCAGATTGATGGTGAATGCCCACGACAGTATTCACAAGGAGTAGAAAGTTCTCCTAGGATTTCTCTCCCAGAAGTTCTTTTCCCCCCAGAGGTCCTCTCATTCCCTCACCAAAAGCTAGCCTTGTTTGAGGTAAATGCAAGACAATAAATAAATGCTTAACATGTCCTTAAGTGTGTGTATTTTTTTCCCTTTTCATATTCATGAGCCTTAAATAATCATACCCCATTCCTCTAAAGTCCTCATTTAGACTCCAGGACCCTAAGAATTCTGACACAGTGGGCCAGATCCTCTTTCTCTAGGGTGACAGTCTATGTTTTTTAACATGTCAAGGGATGTGAAAAGCTCTGTTATCATATGGAGAGCATTTTAAAATTGATTATGGTGGATGAGGTTAGATAAAAATGTAATATCATTTGATCTCCCCTTTGACCCATTTTAGAGCTATTTCAGTTTTTAAAAAAGAGAAGGAGGTAATACACATGGAGCGAGACCCTGGTGAATCCCTTCTGATTATGGACCAGGGTGTGAATAGCCTTACTAATGTCAGCAATGCATTGGAAAGAGATGGTTGCAGATGCAATTAGGCTAAAGTTAGCACCCTACCATTTGATCTTTTTTATCATTTATTTA